TTGAGAACTTCATCTTTGTTTCCAAATGCAATGACTTCAGTTTTCTTCTTGTTCAACTGAAGAAAGTTCTCGCACATCCAATTGTTAATTTCATCAATGCATTGGCAGACGGAGTCAATGGGGCTGTAGTCATTTGGACATAAGGCTAGGTAAATCTGGCTATCATCAGCATAGCTGTGAAAGGCAATTTGGTTCTTTCTCATTATTTGACTTAGTGGAAGCATATACAGGCTAAACAAGAGCGGTGCAAGTATTGAGCCTTGTGGGACTCCGCATGTCATGGACGTCCACTTAGACTTGTGCTCTCCTACACTCACATAATAACCTCTCCCTTCTAAGTATGACCTGAACCATTTGATTAACATCCCAGAAAGCCCGACCCAGTTTTCCAGTCTCTCTAGAAGAGACGAAACAATGCAACCTCGGCATCCACTTCTAGGCCTTCCCGCTCCTTGAGTTCTCTTCACTGCTGGAAAGCTGCTCCGATATTTACACGGCTCCTATCTCTAGTCTGATCGTAACCCTTCTTTTTAATTTTATCTACCGTCTCTATTTGTAGTCAATCTGCTAATATCTGTCCTGTGCACTCAAATTGAGTGCTCTCTTCTCTCTATCATTACTAGACACGCACCTTACTGCTGATTGGCTACAAGTGTGTTTTGGGACTCAGTCCGACGCTGTGGTGAAAGCGTTTTTCAAATATTGCTTAGTGCACCTTTAACAGTTAATCTGCGAATCACATTCGAGCCCTCCGGCCCGTGTCCGCTCTGTAAGCAGCCCTGCCAGCGGCCGTTACCCGGCTGTGTCCACCTCTGTCCGGCTCCGTGTCACGACCAGGTGCTGGTTAAAGCCACTGACCGGGTACGACGCTCACCTCTTTCCTGCTCAACAAAACATAGGGCCCTATGATTTCAGTGATGTGGAAAACGCAGACGGAATATCAGAATCAGTTGTAAAAACCGAATTAATTTGCCAAAATGTCACGGAATTTGCCAAAGTTTGGATGAATTAATCAAAATTAAGTCATTACACTTCAATCAAATCGCGTAATGGACTAGTATTTGTGAATATTAATCCGCAAAAAAGCTTTTTAAATATGATTCCTGTATGTTCTGCATGGCTCTGTGTCAATGAATGGCGTAGACAAGCGGTTTTGTGTACTACACACACACTGAACCCAGATAGCACACTTACGTCTACAAGATGTCTGTTAAAGATCTCTTGATCTGGAAAGCATCTGCTGTGTACAAACATCTGACACACGTCTTTAAGATGTCAGTTTTGCATACATTTGAAATAACGAACCTGAGCGCGCAAAAGACACGATGTGAATGGCTATTTGTTCCCTGCATGTCGTGTGCAGGGCTCTGTTTTTATGATGAGAGGAGAGGAAAGGTTGAGAAAGCACTGCAGCTAAATTTTGAAATGTACCAGGTTTATGGACTTGAATAAAGAGAGAAAACTTGCACTTAACCTTTTCACAGGCATTTAGTTTTCATAGTTAGATATCGTGATAAATCATTATAGAATATATCGATTATCGCTGAATCGCTGTGTCATGATATTATCGTTATTGTGAGCAATGTATCGTGATTCATATCGTATCGTGAGGTACCCTGTGATTCTCACTCCTAATTTACACCGTCTACACTTTGTTATAACGAGAAGATTTGTGAGCTTGCATAACTCAGCAATGAACAAAACTCCAGTATTTTGAGCAGCGAGTGGATTCTGATTAACATTGCATTCAAGGAATCAACATATGTCTGCGATACATTACTCAACGCTGCAAAAACACGAAAGTATAGAATCCTTTAAAGCTCCCCTGAGTGAAAACACAAATATGCTGATCGGGTCAGTCGCACTGGTGCTCCTAAATATTTTTTGATAGTTGCACGCAGTACTTTTCAGTCGCAAATGCCCTGCCCATGATCAGTACCTGAGATTGTCATAGTCATAGTTTGTATGCTATTGTTCCAGCCGAGGTGTCGTGTCTGCTTAGGACACTGTGTTGATTGATATGATTTTACTTCCTGACCCCTTTAATTCAACTCACTGTGTGTCATACTCGTTTTGAATATATACTCTCTACTACATTATCTAATTAATATTCATAAACCAAGCAGTAGTTGCTCATTAGCTACTCAGTACCTTCTGATTGGACTGAATAAAGTGAAAAAAAAAAGTGAAAAGTGAAAGTGACGTGACATGATGCCAAGTATGGTGACCCATACTCGGAATTAGTGCTTACCCATCCACCATCCAAAGTGCACACACACAGTAGTGAACACACACAAACCGGAGCAGTGGGCAGCCATTTTATGCTGCGGCGCCCGGGGAGCAGTTGGGGGTTCGGTGCCTTGCTCAAGGGCTATATTCTATTGCCCTACACCAACCCTACCCCTAAACCTACCCCTCACAGGAAACTTTGTGCATTTTTACAATTTAAAATAAACGTTGTTTACTTTATTTTTTTTACAAGTTTTACAAATGAGGACGTCCCCAAAGGGAGGTTTTTG